AGCCGCATATTACAAGTTGACATTATACATCTGGCATTTCTGTTTATGTTTCTGCATCGGTACATTTCATTCTTTTTTAATAAGTTCCTAATTTTGTGATTTCTCTTTCCAACATCTTGAAGTGCCTATGAAGAACTGAGGCACAGCCTGTAATATTGTTCCCAGTTTAGCTGTACTTCATTTTTTTTTAATCAAATCTTTTTCTTCAGTGGATAAACTCACAAGATTAGAAAAGCCTCTTGAATTCCCTCATGTTTGAGTTGGCAAAGTTCCCACACGCAATTATCCACACACAGCTACTTTTAAAAGACCTTTATGAAGCCTGCACAAAGTCAAGCACTCAGAAGTTAGGAAATGGCAAAACCAAGTTTGTGCACTGTTAATTTGGCCACTTTTTGTGAGTACGAGGCAGTATCTGATCAAGCCTTCAGTGCTGGGTCAAGGAGTGAGCTAAGGCTGCCCAGAAGTTGTCTAAAACTGTCCTGCTTTGCATGCCTAAGTTCTCTCAAGATACATATAATTAGGTTTTTAAAAGCTGAACTGTTGAACTTAAAAAATGGCATCATGGTATTAGGTGTAACCCACGTGTGTGTCAGGATGGAATCCTTTATGTCCTGCTTGTGGACATCCATTCTTGACCCGAGCATCTGATGTAGTAACTCTGAGCTGAAGCAGCAGTATTAGCTTTCACGTTTCACTGGGAGGCCACACACAAGTGTGACTGGAGCCAAGAATTTTTGCTTCACTTCTGAGCCCAAAACAGTGTTTCTGTGAAGGCTGCAGACTGTCCTGCCTAATTCCTTTCCTGATCTATCCTGCCTGAGCTGTCAAATCTCACTCCATTCCCTCCCTCAGCCATTTGGTTTAATCCAAGTCATCCTTTTTCTATCCCTGCTCCTTGGCAAAGAAACTGATGTTCAGATGAGCGTCACTGAATAGGTTCTCTGCTGCCTATTTACTTTCCATCCCAGTCTCTTTGTTCCATTGCCCTTCCAGCCCTGCCTGTCCTGGACTCCTGGCCAGTGGGAGCGCTGGGTGGCTGCACCCAGGCTGGTTTCCAGCCCAGGAAACCACTCACCTTCCTGCTTCCTCTATGACAAATCTGTTCCTTCTTCCTCTTCACTCTGTGTAGAGTTTGAAGCAATGAAGTCTTGTCAGCCATCTCCTTTCTGTCTCCTTTCTGCTGTTCCAATGCAGGATATTTATAGTAAATAACAGGCTCGTATTCAGTGTGGATTGCTTATCAAATGAAGCACTAGCTCAATGCTGTTAATATATCCAAAAATGATTTAATTTGTGTGTATGTATGTGTTTAGTTTAAGAATTATTTAGGAAATCTAGAATGCAAAATACATTCTAAGGTGATTTAAATGGTGGGGATGAAGGTGGCTATCCCATAGTCAGGACTAATGTTCATTGTCTGTGTCCCAGACCTGTTTTTCTAATGCAGTGTTAGACATGAAACATGAAGCTATTTGGATTTGTTCTTGTTTATGTCAGATACAGGTAAACAAATTGAGAACTAGGAGTTGGAATCCTGATGGTTGAGTGAAGTATACAGCCATGCAGGCTGCTGACAGTGTAACTGGTACTTCAGAAGTCCATAGATGAGCAAATTTCGTATCAAATCTGGTAGTGAAGAAATTAGATGGAAAACTGAACTGGATTTGGCAGTTTTTGAAGAGAAAGGTATTAAAGGGCCAAAAATCCAGTAATTTTGCCATCAAGAAGGAGGAGAGCTTTGGCTAACTGCCTACCCCGTTTCAGTCGTGAAATGAAGGAAAAATTTAAATGTAAATTCATAGAAAACAAGAAAAAGGGAAGCAAACAGCAATCAACTCAAAATGAGTTACGTTAAAAATTAACAAGGAAAGCAACAGCCAAAGGAAAAGAAAACTATGGAGTGCTTGAGAGGCAGATAAAGAGCCAAAGTTCAGAGGAAATCTTTGTGGTAGGATAAAGACCATTGCTAGAGGCAGGTGATGCTAGTGCTAGTGATGATTTTAAGAGAACTGGAAAAGTTATTTCATTAGCAATGTTCAGTATTAAAAATGAACACATTTAAGTTCAGTGGGTGTAGAAACCTTGTATCAGTATCTCCTAAGGGCAGTCTGTGACCTGCTGGTGGAGAGGAATGCATAGGGGACAGGATGGTCCAGGCAGAGTTTTCGGCCAGCTTGGCACCCAGGGAAGAGATGAAGAAGGAGATGGGGTGAATGAAGGAGCACAGTGTAAGTCATCTGATTCTTTGTTTTTCAGCTTTCTTTTGGATTAGAGTGAACTGAGTGCATTCCCCCCTGTCAAAGCTTGGTGTTCTCTGACAATCACATTTCAAAAGTGGACACTCAAGGAGAGCCATAATGCAATGGGGATGCTCACAGAAGGGTTCTGCTGGGACCCAACATGATTCAGTGGTTTCAGATCACTGCTGAAAACATACAGAATCCCTCCTGATAAAATGTTAACATGACAAAAATACCCATACCCAGGCTCAGAGTAAGAGCTTCACACCTGTTCCAGCGCAGTCCCAGGGTGAAAGACTAATGAGTAAGAATGTGTTCTTGTCTTTAATTACTGTTAGCAGTAAGTGCTTATACTTGTGTATGTCTCAGCTGTGAGGGTTGGGAATTTTGGATGCAATTTGGGTATTTACATTTTAAAAGAGAAGTTGAGTAATTGGAATGGATGCAAAACAACAAAAAAAGAGATTCAGAAATGACTGGTGGAGTGTGAAAATGCCTTACAGAGGCTGAGAGAGAACTCAGATGGCTGAGTTTAGCTACCAGAATTGAGAATGTCTTGATTACAGTGCACAAGTACCTTCACAGGGAGAAACTACTGAACACTGCAGCTCTCTGATCTTAAAAAGAGCAACACAACACCAAGCACTGACTGGCAGTGGGAGCCAGGCGAATTCCAATTGGAAAAAGGCACAAATTCTTAAAGAGAGAATAACTGTGTAATTTAGGAATGTTTCTTCAAAAAACTGTGAATGGAACAATAAAAGTTATGATATTTATGCAAATAGCTTTTTCATGGCTTTTTTTACTTTCAGAAGTATACTTAAGCATGGGAGGGAACAGGACAAAGAGGCTCCTGATGAGGCTTTCATAGGAGATTCATCAGCAGAGCCCACCCGTGGTGCAGAACTGTGCATGAGCATCTGGAGCCAGCTGCGGGAGGAGGTGGGACCGTTCTCAAGTGCTTGCTGCATACGTTGCATAAGTATGAGGTTGTCTTGTCATTTCTAACATCATGTTAATCCCATAACCACCCTGAAAGGATCTGTGGTCTTGGAGGAGTTTTTTACACCATGTGGTATCTGAACACTTGCTTTGTAAATGAAAAACAAAGTATATGCACACAAATCTCATTCTTGAGGGTAAATAGAGGGCAGGAATTGCCTTCCCGCTCTTCCACCCACCCTCCAAAGACAGCAGAAGCCATGTTCTTGCCATGGACATCTTTCAGTTCTGCAGGAACGTGTATCCTTGCTGACTGGAGTCACAGGAACCTTTGCTCCAGGCTGCAGCATGTGCCTGCTCTGGCATGGTGATGGGAAGCTGCTTTGCTGAAGAGAAAGTCCTGCCACACATATGGTTTATGGAGATACACGCCTGTGCTGCCCCCACCATGCCCCAGCTTACAGCATCTCAACAGGGACATCCCAAAGGAGATGTCACATTCTCCAAGATGCACTTCCACTTCAAACATTTACCCATGGATCTCCACATGGTAGCAGGCAACAAAACCCAACAACTCTTAGAAGCAGGGAGGTGTTTCAGCTGCTGAACTAACCCCTGGAGAAGTCTCCTCCTCCACTAATAGTAGAAGGAACCAAGGCGAGGTAGTCAAGCTTGGCCTTTGTGTTTCACCTTAAAAGTAATGTGCATGATTAATACTTGATCATGCCAGGAACATGCTGACAACGTTTATGTCACAATTGTATGCATTTAATAAGCATCTCATTTGAATTATTAGTTAATGTACAAATCCCTCAAAAGTATTTTTTGTGTTATAAACCCCATAATTTATCTAAGTATACAAGCTTCAAATTCATACATACAGCATTAAGAAGGTAGCTATTGCATAGTTGGTTTAACAAAATACCCTTTGTGAGTAAGATACAGGCTTATTTGGAAAGGATTTAGCTACTGGGAGGAGGGCTTCTCCACATAAGTTATATGCTTCTTAGCTGCAGCAGACAGGGATTTTAATTTCTTAGTTTGTCCTTGTCAGTAGAAATCAGTTGGCCCCGACTATGCTGTCTTGACTCGAGTATCTGCTCAGCCCATCGCTCACTAGAGGCAGACTTATAAAGCATCTCTACAGGAATGAGGCTGGAAGTGACATTTTGATTGAAAGGAGAGCTGGATTAACAACTGCTATGCCAGTAGACTTGCTAAAAGGGAGACAGTAAAATACATGGCCTGATGAGACTTGCAAGTGAGCTTCTGCTCTACTTGGAACGTGGCGAGTGGAGTCACAATGGACAGGCAGTGATAGGGGGCAGTGCCCAGGTACCGAAGCACAGGCCAGGATAATGCAGCAAGGATGCAGTGTCTGCAGCTGGGTAATGCTGAAGGTTGGAGTGTTCTCCATTTACTGTGTCTTCTTAAGTGACCAGGGTCAGACATAACACTCTGCTGATGTCATGCTCTGCCAGGGCTGCCTTCTGTGAGTGGAAGATTGTGTATCGCATCTTTGTGTGTGTGTACATGCACACGAGAACTGCAGAAGATGTCTGCAAACTGAGAAAGGCATGATTAACTCCACCCTTATCAAGAACCCTTGCTGACTGCTTTATCTATTGCTGCCTGACTCTGCAGATTAAATTTGCAAGAGCAGCAATAAGGAGTATGATGGGAGGGAACTTAAAGTCAGAGAAACTCTGCAGCCGATGCTTTGGATGTTTGAATTACATCTGAATCAAGCTCTTGATTAAATCTTAGCAATGTCGAAAGCTCAAAGCAGTAATTGTAATTGATGTTGCTTCCCCCCCCCCCCCCATATTGCTAAATTATCTATTGCAATGTGCAGCGCATCCATGTCACTACATTAAAATTGTAGGCAAAGAGGGGAGATGAGGCAATAAAGCCACAGGACAAACAGCATGTAGTCAGGCGTTTCTGCTTGGCTTCACTCACTGCTGCTGGTTGTTTTTAAAGAGTTTCCAAATCGGAAAAGAACTGCTTCCAGATGTGCTCGTTTGAAGGATATAAAAATCACACTAGCACCAAGACTATCTGAATTCTGTGCTGTACCTCAACAGGTAACTAGTCCCATCTTAAAAACAGAAGTGCTATAAACAATAAAAAGGCCACAGGCAAAGGTTTTAGTGCTTCGTTCCCATTAGCATCCTTTTTTCCCAGGTATTTTAGACTAACATAGTTAGATAATTCCTCTGGTGCTCCAGCGCACTGAATCAGAGGTGCCTGATAGGAGGTGGGCCGCTTGTCCGGGCGGTCAGGACTGGAGCCGTCCGTGGGCCTCTCGCCGATGTACAGCAGGCTGCGCTCCTTTGCGTCTTGCTCTGTTTTGAACAGTTCATACTCTGTGTGGGGCAGCCTGATGCCCAAAGCCAGGCACCCGTTTGTGGGTGTTATATCCTGCTCCACCCCAGTGCTCCAGGAGCCAGCCAGCCCACAGCTTCCAGGTTCGGAGGAGTTCAGCATCGTCACCGTCACCTGGTCCATTGGCGTCACCCGAGCCTGGGTGACTTTAAAAGCCAGCTCTGTGCCACCTCGCACTTTGGAGGAGGGGATGCCTTGTGTGTAATGCCCAGATGCATAGATGGTGAAAGTCGGCTGTTTGCAGAGTGGGTCAGAGTAGTGGTAGTAGTAACCTTCCCAAGTGTGGTTGTTACCGTGGAAGATGAAGTACCTGGTCAGGAACAGCACCGCAGGTCTCACCTCGCAGTGGGTGCTCACCCAGCTGCCGCTGAGCTGCATCGGCAGCTGCGCTGTCATGGGCAGTATGGGTGGGTGATGCTCATCCGCTCTGTAGATGATCCCACAGGCAGGGCAAGGATGCACATGGTGCTGTACACACAAAAAAGACAAACTGGTGAGCAAAAAGCCCTTTCAGGGTATTTACAAGGTTCAAAGTCCCCTCTTCCACTCCAGGGTGTTCAACAGCAGTGAACCTGGCCCAAGACATCCAAGCAGATTAAATGTGATAAAGCACTGCTCTGGCTCTTTGCTATTCTGGTCCACTGGGAAGGACAGCAAGGTCTGTGCCCTGAGGCTGTGCTCTGCCCTGGGAAGGGCTGCTGAGGACAGGCTGCAGGGAGGAGAGCAGGGTGAGGACAGAGCTGCTGTGAGGGTGGGGAAAGCTCCCTCCAGCCAACCAGGCTGGTCTCCACTGCAGGCTGCTGCCCTTTCCATGGCGAGGGCATGGGTGCTGGGACACGTTGGCTACACCCACCGTGCTCCTGCACTGCTTCAGCAAACAATGCAGCCTTTTTGGTGATCCAAACGGTGAAACCCTACCACTGGGAAGCTGCTGTGGCCGTGCTGCATTGCACTGATGGCCTCTCTGGGACAGCCAACAGCACAGTGCTCCCGTTAGCAGCAGAGAGGCGAGGGCTTTGCCAAGCGCCACAGCAGTGGGCACTGCACCTGAGAGAGAAGGAAAGGACCTACAATAAAACAAGGACCTGACCTTTGCTGCTTCGTGCAGAGGTCTGAGTCAGACCAGCCCTGCAGCTCATCCAGTGCCAGGAGGGGGGCTTGTGTGGCTTGGAATCTTTTCTTATACTTCATCTAGCACAACTGATTTATTTCTAAGTAGCCAGGGTTTGACCATTCTGCCGTTTCCCAGAACACGAGCTGATCTTTACTGAGCTGTCGTACGCAGCAAGGTTAAATAACTCAGTAGTTAACTGCAGGGTGGGTAATTTACATGCAAGTTGATTGGAGTCTACTGTAATTTAGTCATTTTCAGCTTGCTTTACTGCTACTGTCACGTTAATGAGTGCTGACAGTACACAGTACATTATGGCTAAATAATCCCAGAAGTTGGCAAATATATATGCTCTGCTTGGGCAGGAAATTCTTTGATAATGAAAGGTAATTTGGGGAGAATGGGTTTCTTTAAAGCAGATATAAATTTAAGGGAAAAAAAGCGATATTTTCATAAAGAGGGTTAAAAAATAATTCCTACCATAGCTGTGCAACTCTCCCCCACAGGCCAATGGCTGCTGGCTCAGAGAAAAGGGAAAAGAGGAAGAAAAATCCTGTGCCCAACAGAATTATCACCACAGACATGGAGTCAAAACTCTGCCTTGCTCAGGCCAGTGGTGTGAAGTTATTTCTAATATATGGCAGCTTCTAATTATCGCCAAGTGGTGACCTCATGTGCTGGTCCATTGGAGAGCTGTTAGCTGATTCATTACAGCGCTCTGCTCAGAGAGTGCGTTGCAGGATCTTTAGGGCTGCTTTTAAATTAACTTTTAAAAGTGTTTATGTTTACCATCTGGCTTTGCTCAGATATATGGTTCTGGCCCAAGATAACACAAGTTTAACCAGTTTGAGAATGTTGCTTTCAAGGGGAGGGGGCTGCTGCTCTGTGGTTTTCAGAGTTCACTTGGTGGAGTTTGAGGTGTGGGGAAATGCTGCCCCCAAAATAGCGTTTTTCAGCTAATTCAATCCTATCTGGTGAAGTTCAGAGAGGTTTCTTCAGCCCATCTCACTGCTCAGTCATTTCTGAATTGAGTAGCTATGATTCAGATGGAGACGTGCTTGTCTGGAAAGCAACTAACCTGGTGCCAAGTAAAATACAAAAGAAAATATAAAATCGAAACAAGATATAAAATATATATATAAAATATAAAACCAGGTCTCCTGCTCAGTCTTACTTATGTCAAAACGAGTAGGAGCACCCAGGCAGCACCTTGGGGCTCCGCATCTCCAGCCCCACACCTCCTCACCCAGTGCCTTGGATGGAAGTGAGCTGACTGCAGGCAGGTGGCATTTTAACTGCGAAGGACATAACAAATGCTTCACCGTGAACCGATGGGGGACCCCATGAAGGCATCACCCTTACCATGGCGCTCTGCAGAGGTCGCTGGTAACCGGTGGGTCGGTAGTGGAGCCTCTCCTGCCACTCCGTGTGAATGTCCCCCAGGTACAGCTCCTCCACCAGCCGGCTCCCGCTCTGCTGCGGCTGCAGCAAGGGCTGGTAATGCTGCTCCACGCGCACCAGGCTGAGCTCATGCATGGCAAAGCCCAAGGCAGCCGTGCAGTCGCGCTCGGTCTTGGCGCTCAGCAGTTCATAGAGGGCTCCGGGAGCCCAAGTGCGCCCTGGGGGCAGGAACCCACTGCAGCCCTCGCCAGAGGTCTGGTTGATCCAGGAGGCCACCTCCCGCATGGCTTTCTGGCTGTGGAAGACGATGCCGACTTTGTGGAGGTGGTAATCGGCCTCGGTGGCCCCACGGGTGATCCAGGAGGCCTGGCGCAGCCGGAGCTTGCCCTTGATGACCAGTGAGTAGGAGGGGTCGCGGCAGGAGGGGTCCCAGTAGTAGAACTGGTAAGCCTTGAAGAGGCGGTTGGCGTAGAAGAGGTAGGATCGGGTGAGGAACTCGGGCCCCGGCCGCACCTCACACCTGGGCAGGAAGGCAGAGCTGAGCCCCTGCAGCACATGGGGGGTGTATGCAGGGCGAAATCCCTCCCCAGGGCACCCGCATGCGGGAGGAGAGGGGGGAACAGGGGTCTCCCACAGCTGCTGCCCACCCTTGGCTGATTTTAAGGCATCTGCTTCCAAAACGCAACAGCGCCAGGTGGAGAATCTTGCTTTGTGCCACACCTCGGGGGGCACACGAGGGTCGGGGGGATGTCGGAGCTGCCCTGCCCGATCGAGCCGGGTGTGCTTACCAAGCTGCACCTAATGAAGGAGGGAGGCAGGAGGCTCTATGGGCCGCGGGGGGGCCTCGGGCCTCCCTCCGGCGTGGGGCGGGCGCTGGCGAGGGGCAGAAGGGCACAGCCGTGCCTGTTACTGCTCAGCCCCTTGCTTGCAGCCGGTGGGGCCGGGCTGGTGCGGAGGGGCCGGCCCGGGGGTGCCTTACCCGGTGGAGACCCAGCGGCCCTCCAGGCGGGGCGGCAGCCGCGCCGCGATCCTGGCGCCGTCCTGCAGGTGGCGGAGCTGCTGCCGGCACCGCGGCTCCCAGCGCAGCGGCGGCTCCGCGCCCGCGCAAGCTGCGGAGGGAGGAGAGAGCGTCAGCATCAGCACCGCGGGGCTGCAGGGCCCGCAGGCACAAGTGCAGCAGGTACAGGTACAGGTACCCAGGTGCAGAATGAAACCCCAAACGCTGAGCTAAGCAGCGAGCTCTTGGTTAAGGGTACAGCGTCTTTAATTCTACTGCTTTCCAACTGAAATGTCATCTGAATCTAACTACTTTTCAGAGTTAATCTTCCAATGAAACCGAGTGCTCTTTGAGCATGTTCTCTCTCTCGCTATTGTTGAAGCAGTAACCGAAACAGGGAATTACAGCATGGGAACATCAGACTCGCCTGTCGCCCGCCATAAGGACAGTAATTCTGTCACTTACCTCATTTCCCATAACAACGGATGTTATTGGCTTAGGGAATGTGTGAACACTCGGCTAAATCCTGACGACCTTTGCATGCACACATATATAGTACATATATTCCTATATATTATTCACTCTTTACTTAAGCAAACTTCTGCTGCACTCATCACGAGTTTGCTTCAACAAGAAACTTGGGATTTGCCCCTTTTTAACACCACAAAATGAGCTCTCAGCAAAGCTCCTCCTCACACCCCACCAAATTTCTGCTGTGGAACAACTGCAGAGCCCATTCCCTGGCCTGGGGGTGCTCAGCCCAGCCCAGGGATGAGGGGGGTTCACTTGCTCTTAGCTGCACTTTGCAATTTGACCTAGTAGTGTACTGGGAGCTTTCCATCTGGACTGATCCCCCGCATGCCAATGGTCAGGGCACAGGCTGCTTCCCAGCCTGCCATTGGGTTGGGAAGTAAAGTCTTATGTGTATGCACTTACTGCCTTCTCTAGAATGAGGATGCAAAGCATTTCCACACCCTGTGCCTCAGTCAAGGAGGATCTTAGCCCCTGTGTGCCACATACTCTATAACCCATGTTGGCGGCAGGATCAATTGTGAATAATTCCTTCCTCCTGCCCAAGAACTCTCTAATGCAGTTAATTCGTGCCTCTCCTAAGACAGAGAGAGGAGCTGCTCTGGTGTGCTTGACCAGAGGCTGAGTAACAGAGTGACATGTGAGTGACAGCCGCTTTATGCTGCTCTTGCCATAGAGATGTGCCCTAACTGCAGATTTTAGGTCTGGAACTGAATCTTCCAGCTTGGAAGGATGTTTGGATCTGGTGCGGCTGGGCTGGAGTATTTGAGAGAGGAAAGCAGCCACATTCCATACAACCTGAACCATCCCGTGGTCTTCACAGGGAGCTTTGCCCAAACCAGAGCGTTTGCTGGGAAGAGAAACCCAAACCGCACATGACAGAAGCAATAGGTGAGAGTGCGAAGGGCACAAACCCGGCCTGGCGAGCACGATCCCTTCCTCCTAAGCAGTGTCTGCAGATCAAGCTGGTGCATGTGGATGTGCTGCACACCATGGGCAAGGCTACGAGTGGCTGAGCAACGCCAGCAAAATCCCCTGGCTCACAAGCTCGGGGTGTAACACATATAAACAGGGTGAGATTCACAGCTGCAGTCTCCCAGGAGGCTCCCCTGATTCCCACTGCAAGGCATTCTGAGCCAGGAGCCTCTCATCCCTGCCATCCACACATCCTACACACACACAGCGTTAACCCCGTTACAAATCCGCGCTGGAGTCTGCCACAAATATAAGCCCTACACCAAGTCAGAGGGGAGCTCAGCAATTCATCTGCTGGGCAAGTCAGAGGCTCCTGAACATGTGGCAAAGCAGAGATATTCCCACTCAAATAGTATTTAATTACTAATCTAGTAATATGTAACTCAAGACTTGGATCTGATGGACAAACTCAGTCACTTCTCTGGTGCTGCTATTTGCAAAGGTTTTACATGTAACAGTAACAGGGTCCTTGAAATGTGCTTGTGTAGACCTCAGCACACAAGCCCTGAAACTACTGCTAAGGGATTAAACACATGGAAAGCGAAGCCCCCAGTGAAGCAGAGCAGTAACAGAAGAAGCCTACCTACCCAAAGGCCAGTGAAACCAGCACTGGAGTTTCTGTTACCTCACTATGCACTGGAGTGCATAAACTAGCTGGAAAGATACATTATTGGTGCTGAGGGCTCTTTTTGGAGCAGACTCACGATTGCACTGGTTTTATCATCTTCAAGGGCTGGACGTGGCGAGCATGCACAGCCAGCCCCTTCACAACTGACTGCACTAGGGCTTCCCAAAAAAGCAGTTCCTCTGAGTCTTCACACAAAAATGGGAAAATATGGATGACAAACCCCATTCCTGCTAGCTAACCCTTTAACTTGGCAGCTGCAGCATGCATGCAGACTGCCCCATGTAGAGCCCATTAGGAGCTGGGGCTGTGTCCTCATCCCAGTTCTGCCATGACTTGGCTTTGTGGCCTCAGGCAAATCTACTCCTGCCTGCTCCTTACTCGTGGTGTTTCTTTACTTGCCTTCAGAATATGCCAAGTTTCATGTGACCGCCCCTACCAAGAGGCCTAATTACTGGCAAAGCTTTTGGAGAGCCATCAGTACAGGGACAGACCAAACTGAATTACACTTAAAACAAACATGACATCATTATCCTAGAGAATATGGTAAGCTAAAACACAACTGTATTTGTATTAGAGGTAACAGACTGTAAGGGTCAGATCTGCTCTTGCTCATAAACCACAGAAAGACTGCAGAGGTCTGGAGACTCTAGAGGTATATAAACTGTAGAGATCTAGTCTATAGCTACACCAAAATAACAGCATGGAATACAGCTCCATTCTCAACTCTAACTATGCTCCGTGTGTGTTTACTGCAGCAGAAGCTTCAATATTTGACTGAACCCTTTAGTGCTGCTTTTGGCAGAAACACTAAAAGTCCCCATTGTCTGAGAGCACAGAGTCTTTGGGAGTGCAATCACGACATTTTCACACTCAATAGAAATGGAATTTTTCATAATCAGGATCAAATTCCATGGGGGAAAAAAAACCCAGAAAAACCAAGAAAACAACCCTCTGGAATGTAAATATTTGACATGATGGGAATTCCTCCGGATTTTGTCTCACTTAACTGTAAACAAGACTCCAAGCTGGGTGCATCCTCAAACCACAAGCTATTGGATTGTGTCCAAATGTTGTGGCTGCCTTCCTCTCTCAAATACTCCAGCCCAGATCCAAACATCCTTTCAAGCTGGAAAATTCAGTTCCAGATCTAAAATCTGCAGTTAGGGCACATCTCTATGGCAAGAGCAGCATAAAGTGGCTGTCACTCACATGTCACTCTGTTACTCAGCCTCTGGTGAAGCGTATCAGAGCAGCTCCGCTCTCCATCTGAAGAGAGACACAAATTAACTGCATTAGAGAGTTCTTGGGCAGCAGGAAGGAATTACTCACAATTCATCTTGGGGACAAAAATACTCATTCATAGGAAAATCTAAGAATCCTCCCCATCTGTGATCCCTTCCCCTCCCTCGTTATCCCATCTGTCTGTATCGATTAACCACAAGCGTTTCCAGAGAGCTCCTCACTACAGCAGCTAGACAAAACAGTGGCTTTTTCCAGCTTTCCGGTGCGTGCTGCATCCGAAGTATTGGCCAAAGTCTCCGAGCAAAGGGGCTGCACAAGCACTCTGGCAATTAGGAATGCCAGCAACCAGGAACGGCTGCTGATCACTGCAATCAGCAGAAACTGGATCAAGCCTTGAGACAACAGCAGTAGCAAATACTGACCGACTATTCCATACACTCATTTGTACAAGCAGCTTTCAGAAAAATCAGGCCCATGGCCTCAAATGACAGTAAGGCAGAACTGGAAATTCTGCGCAAAGTAAACTGGGGAAAATTAAGATGAAACAATCCTAGGAATTGTCCAAGTGAGAGCCTGCCAGTGGGACTGTGCTAGGTAACTGCTGTATGCTCCAGATCCAGATCCACTTCCTAGTTTTAAAGGGACAAAAGTACCAATCAGGAGAGAAACAGTGGAATTTGCCTTGTTGGAAACAAATCTTGTTTGTGTTCCTCCAAGCAGATTGACTTTGGAAAAAAGCAAAGTTGAGTCACACATCTGTTTCTTTATAAACGGGGGAGAAAATGCATACATTACAGTTTGCACCAAATTAGTTACTGTAGATCAGCTCCTCTCCAGAGCTGCATTGCTTAATCTGTTACATGTTGTTGACTCCTATGGCCAGAATTTATTATTCCCATTTATAATTCTAATGTTTCGGTTAGTCACCCATTCACGGGGATACGATCAGTGCCTGCAGTCATGGAGCATTACACATTTCTTCATTCAGAGATGACATAAAACCTCTGATATTTTCTGAGGAATGCTCAGACTGGAATGAAATGGACGATAAGAAGCATCAATATACTCTGCATAAGCAAATTACACTTATTCACACAGACTTCATTAAGAGAAAAGCAGCCTTTCTTTAGCAATTTTCTCTCCTGGGAGCATGCAGAATGTATTTTGCATTAGCCACTAAAGGAATAAGCCTTCTTTTCAAAGCAAAGAAAGCTGTTTGTATTTAGCAAATCCATTTTCCTTGCATTTGTGTAGAGATTAAGTTAACGGTGCTTTTAATTCACTGAGAATAACGCCTTCCCAGGAGAACAATTCTCTAGGAAGAAATACATTTTATATTATAATAGTATAAAGTTACAAAACTTAAATATAACCCATTGGGGGTGGAAAACTGTATCACAGCAGAACTTCACATTTTGCCCATCTATCTGCAAACTGAACACAGTTCAGGACGGGACTTAAGCACATGCTTAAGTATAATTGGTTTCAGTGAAACTTAAGCATGTGCTTGAAATTAAGCCACTGCATGAGCATTTTCCCTGATTAGTAATACCTCCCTGAACTGAAGCCAGAATATGGTCAAGTGGTTGAGGAATGATGCCAGTGCTTTCACTAGAGTACTGTCTGGCTTCTGGAAATGTATTTCTATTATTCATCCCTTATTTGTCTGTAAAATGGGTATAATTACATACAGTTGTTTCAGAGTCTGATGCTCAGTTCATGGTATTTGTAAAAAT